ATATGTAGTGACCACGGTTTCCCAGCCCCTAGAAGATCGGCACGTTAATAAAGTAATTTAAACATTTGCATTTATTGTCCTACACCGATCAATAGATGTTATTATGATGAAATAAAAATACATTCAACATGCAAATTTTGAAAAAGTTTCGTTTTCGTTTCGATTTCTGTTTTTGCTACCCCTTGAAAATTCCGTCATTGTGCGGTGTACGCTCTGCACACCCGTACTCGGCGGCCCTGAGGCGGCGCTTTTCAAGCTCTAAATAAAACTATTGAAGCTGGTGCTCTGAAAGTTACTAAGAGGAATGCCAATCAACTATGTTAGAGTCAATAAAGTGCATGCTTATGTTTACGAGTATAGTGTTAGTTAGTTGATAGTATTGATCTATTTTTAAAAGTAATAGTAGTATCTATTAGGATGATAATGTTCGTTAACCACCTAACCTGATTCTGTGTTGTATAGTTGGCTATAATGGGTACACTATTCGAGACACCTACTTTGGGTAAAACAGTTTTCATGCTTGTTTGACGTGATTGCCTCGTATTTTCGCAATCTTTTCAGTGAAATTATTACGCTTTAAATTAGAGTATGTTGTTTTCTAAAATAATTGTAAGGAAACTAACAATTTTTTTGTCTATTTTTTATTGACCTTTTTTGACAAATATTTAGGCATTTTCTATAACCTTATACGTTGAATATTAATAACAGTTTATCGTTGTAAAAGCAAAACATTATACACGAGAACAAGCGATAAATGTATGCAAATTTCTAAATTTGTTACTGTTTAAATTTGTTTTAACCTATTATTGTACACTTAAAGTGCCATTATATGGCGAAACATTAGAACAGACTACTTGTCAAGATTTATTACGGATATACGCAACTTTATGTTCGGGAGATAAATACACTATTATGGTTTAGTTTCACATTTTACATAGGTATGTATACCGTTGTATAATCATGCATTCTTATCCGGAGGGGCTAGATAGAAAAATGTATGCCAGATTTGAACAAACATAGTTCGCCTTGAGATTTATTATAGTTAATTTCTGAACTCAAAAAAAACATCAAAAACCACCAAGCTTGACACAAGTATTTTACTTACCGTGGAGGCAATAAAAGGGTTGAAGTAAATTTAGCTTTGAAATAGATTACATAATTATATCTCTATATTCACAGTTGCCTCGTGCTATTAGAATGTCACAAGTATGATGTAAGATTTCAAAACTCCCGTTTTGTAAAATAAGTATTATGCATTAAAATATTTAAATTAAATAAAAGAGTTTAAGTTTAAATCATAGATTATCATGCAATTTAAAAAAATAACAATTCGTTGACTAGTCGACGCTTACAACAACTTTTAATTGCCTTTTTTTGAGATTTTTGGTTATAAAATATGTAATACTCAGTACTTTAAATGTTCCTTCTTCATATTGCTTACATTTTTAAAGACAAAAGAAGTTTTAAGACATTTGTCATTAGATACAAACAAATTTTTCAAATTTTTAATTATGGCCTAGAAGTTTCGTCGCTCTTCTTCTATTTTTTTTCAACAATTTCAACATAGACCACACTATTTTGAATATATTGTCAACACCTTCACCAAGTTGGTGTTCTGGGTTGGGGTGTAAATTATTGCATTTAGACAGCCATACTTTATGTTACCCCTTTTATTATCCGACTGCCAAGGAAGGGTTATGTTTTTCGCGCCATCTTGTATGTTCGTTTGAAAATTTCTTTATTATCTTATTTCTCCCTAATGTCTGGATGGATTTCAACAATTAAGGTATTCTTTCATCTGACTCAAGAAGACACAAAGAAAAAACAAAATGGCGGATTTTTTACATAAAATAGCACTAGGTTAATAAAAAAAAAGAAACGAACCTATCGAGTAGGGTAACAAAATCAAGAAAATTGAAAGGGAATTTTAGAAAAAATATAAGTTGCTTAAAAATGGGTCGTGTTTGTGTCGGATTTCGTGCTGTTTCGAACTTCTTAGTGCATTACTTCTAAATTGTTTTTTGCAGTTGGATTTTTTTATCATTTATTTTATTTATTTATTATTATTACTTATTAATAATGGAAATTACACCATCCTTCAATACATAAATTACGTAATATAATGATAAATACTAAAACATCAGAATAACATCAACGCTTTCACTAACAAAACCTTTTAAGTGAGGATATTGTTCGTACCTACCTGAGCCCACAGAATACCAGTGGCGGTCGTCGTCCCGTGCGTCCGGAGAATTTTGTCAAAGTCACTCCACAACGTAAGCTGGAATGGGGACAATACGTCTTCATGCAACATTCACGGACCCCTGCCTTACTTTATTAGAACGAGGGACAGTCAACCTATATAAACTACGAGATTCCTATCGTCCTTTGAAATGCTATCAGGTCTAATCACCGGCAGGTTCCTTAATTTCTCTATTCAATGGTTTGATTGTAAATTGTTTAGTAAGCAGATAATTAATCCATTCATATAAGACAATGGAGATAGGTAAATGTTATCTATGTGTTTCTATTGTAACATTGTATATAGACGGTGCATTGCTACATTAATTCATTTGTATAGTTAGAGACTATTGTCATATTAAACAAAGAACATGATATAATCTGAACTAGACAGATGGAGAACATTTGGCATATAGATATTCTACTTCTTACTAGCTGGGTACTTGTGGTTTCGTTTTCATAGGATTAGTACTGTAAGCGATCCTTTTTACCTTCTATGAGTATGATTTAAAAATGATTAAACGTATAGCTTTCATGAACTTTAACTATAAGTCACAAGTGATCTCTTTCAACGGAACGGAAAGGAAAAAGCACTACATGATTCAAAGATGTAAATCGTTAAAAGTTATTGTGTGAAATTTATAGTGTCCTCCCACTCTAGAAGGCCTGTTAAGAGTATTCCCAGTAGGCCTGTTAAGAGTGTGTGGTAAAACACAGATAAATCTGATAGGCTTTCAGACCTTTTACATCACATCTCTACCATACCAGATAAATTTGTATTTATCCCTTAAACCCTTTTATAAAAAGGATATTATACATAAACGAAATAATTTAGGCCCAAGAATGTCACAACCGTACCAAAGGTCCTAGAGAGACTAATTGACAGAGAAATCAGGGACCTCCTTTTTGTTGCATTAATCAGCTACATAAAAGCAACAATTGTTGCGCATACTTGACACCAAGAATAATAGCAACAGCTTTTGTTTATAAAAGTAGTATAAAGAACTAAGCTTCCGATTAACACACTCGCACCCTCTTGTGACTATTTCTGTAATTTCCTTAACTACATTATAGTGAGTACGCCAGTAACATCTCAATTAATATCCATGTCTCGGATAACTTGTAGCTTTACACGGCTTAGCTGTAGCTTCATAAGGCTTAGCCTTTTTATAGCATAGTGGCCCGCTTAATTGAGTTCAACAAACAGCGTCCGTGTACCAATTTGTAGCCGTGCTACGTGTTTGTAGCCCCGTAACCGTAGCTAGGTAAGTGTAGTCTTGCTACGCTGAGTTCAGAAATTCATTTTAACGAGTTTAACTTTATTTCATTAAAACTGCATTTTATGATCACTTTACATTGAAAGGTTTTCAATCAATCGCTATATCCCATTTTATTTACAACTATGTGTCTTATCACTGGCATATTCATAACTCACCGAACTATTATTTACAGAACTATTTTTAAGATTGTAGTAAAGGAATTATTATTGAAATACTTTTAAACCCCATTTAAATCATTGTTTGAAATTTAACTCTCACCAGATACCCCGGTAGTAAATTAAAATACAAATATTATTTTTGTGAAATTTTTATTTGTTTAAAAAAGTACCGCTTTAATATGACAAATGATTTTACTATCGGAGAGCCATGCCTTGGTACAAATGGGCAGGCATGGCCTCACAGAAAACCAGTTTTAAGCGTTGCTTTCCCCTAGTAAATCCTCATTTACTAGGGGAAAGCAACGCTTAAAACTGAGCTCCAGTACCCTCGTACTGGAGCTCAGTTAGTCATGAGATTAATGTGAGTTCGATTATGTAAACTTTGCATATCCCTTGACATACAAAGAAAAACATAGGGTCCTTTTCATTTAAAGCAAAGTATAGTTCTTTCAGCTTCTTCAGTCGTGTGTATTATATAATACATTATACTGTTTTATACTCTTTGATAATATTATAACTTCATATTTCGTTTTGTGAAAAGTGTGTATGTGTGATGTAAATTATATTTATTTTAACACTAAACACGGCTTTTTTTATAATTTTTGTAAATGAGGTCAACATCATTGGTACCGAGTTGTAATTTTTTTAATTACATCTAATATTTTAGGTGTAATATTGAAAGTATAATAAGAATCTTGTTCTATTTCAAAATGAGTCAACATCTACCAAAGTGAAGCGGACGGAAAATGAAGGAATTTTCATCTCTAGTTTTTTCACTATGACATAACATGTAATGTGAATACATTTGTAGGGACATAGTAACATCAATGTCGATTGGTATCATTATTTGCTTGTGCATTAATAATGTGCAGTGTCAGCAGCAAGTGACCAAATTCGGGACTTGATGCGACTTGTTTTTATCACGATAATCATTGGGCGCTCAATATCAGGGGTTAAACTTCTCGGCCACACATATTATCTACATGCCTGTTTTATCAGTGTCTTATTTTTTTATTTCTAAAATACAGTTCAGAATACAATCATAATACAATCACAGGGATACAGTTTTCATCACTAGATGATGTGTTAACTGCTAACTACGTCCGAGGTGACTGTGTTGGTTGTATTTGGCCACATTGGAGAAAGTGTTTTTAAAATTAATTAAGATCCATGATACTTTTTACAAGTATTAGTTATCACAAACTCACAATTTTTTCTGGCTAGAATGCGTGTAAGTTTAATAAATTAAAAACATGTTGGTGAACTTAAAGAATATCCAGTTTTTTAAATTAAAAATAATGTAATACTTTCTAATTAATAGATGGGTCACTTATCAGTGGTAATACCACCAGACATCGCTGATGACGACGGCTCAGAAGCTAGCACACTTGAAGGCGGAGCAGTGGAGCTGCGCTGTACTGCCACTGGCGTGCCGCCACCGACCATATCCTGGAAACGGACTGGTGGGCGAAATATTGTATTTCGTGATGATAACGGAAAGGAGGTGCAAGGTAAGGGAGCTGATCTAATCTATTTGTTATTGTTCTAGTTACTTTCGATATAACTATTTTGGCTTTAAATTGAAGTATAATAACTCGAAAAATCGTTTTAAATTATTATTTAGTTCTCCACTCAACAAAATATAGATAAGCTATGTAATTTACTTTAAAGTACCAAAATCAAAAATAGTTTGAATTATTATTATCTATATCTGCATTCAAAAAAAATATAGACAAATAAATACGTAGTTTATACATTTCAATAACTTACAAAAAAAAAAAGATTAATGGGAACTAAAGTTAAATACAATACGGTTCGGTTACATACGTTTTGACCACGTAAAACTGGCCGTGATCACCGGCTGACTGTCATATTTAAAATAACGTAAATGGAATATGTACAATAATGTACATTTATCATCTTCTATCTCAATTCTTCCGATTGAAAGAGTTTTAATTTCTTGATAGGCTTACATGCGACAGTGATTGATTGAAGGAATAACTTATTTTTTCAAGCCAAAATTACACGTGTTTTATGTTCGGTGGAATATTTTCTATCATGTCGAGTGAATTCCGCTGTTAGACAGGTGTATTTAAACATTGTAAATATACGATTCAATTTTAATTAAAAAGTTTCTGTAATCATGGTTCTGAATTACAAAAGTCAGCCCAAGATAACATCTTGTTTCTACAATTTGCGTTGTAAATGCTTCGTGTAAAAGATAATAATCAACACAATTTACAAAAGAGAAAAAATAAAACGTCAATTCTCCATTGAATTTTATTCGCATCACTGAGATCCGGCTAAGTGGTAAAAAAGAAACAAGACTAATTTTGCATTCAAAGCCCGCGCAGAGCGGGCACAGGTGCTAGAGCGGTTAAAACATTGAAGTTTTATAGGATTTATTAAGATATTATCCTAAGATATTGGAAAGAAAATACCAGCTCTATATAAATATATCTACGTGACGTTCGGCGATTGACATCTGAATAAAAATAAAATAATATGATCGGATAATGGTGGTCATTGATTTGTTTTATACTAAATGAATTATCAATAAAAGGCGAAACGAGTGCGTAAATATGAAACACTATCTGAAGTATGCCATAGAAAAGATTTTTTAAATCTGAAATAAATATTTTAGTTCAATACTTGAAATGAATTTATAATTGTGTAGAATAAATCATTTTGTAAATTATCTACATCATTTTAAATTGAATGAGATTTTTTATATAACAAGAATTTGGGACTGTCAACAAGAGACAAAAGAAAGTTGACGTCCGATGCTCTTGGCAGGAATTCATTTCCGCGGAAAAAATGTTATCAAAGAACTCAATTACTATTTAAACAAAATATTACAGCAATCCGCATTCGGTCAGGAAATTAAACGAACGGCTTAGTGAATACTGGCCTGACAAAAGGTTGTTATATCTTATGGTTATAATGACGTACCCTTTACGACGCAGCTAACACACTAGGTGAAAAGACATCGGAGTTAGAACAATTATAGGGCTAGTCATTTTAACACGTACCCACACAGTTGTATTTCTAACGCTGTATCCTACACTCTAATTTATACCTTAATCTAAATGTATTAAGTACAAAATTACCGGTCCCCCTGGCCTATTTAAAACCTTTTCGGTGTGGTGTTTTACGAATTTGACCCGTTTTATTTAAGCCATTAAGCGTAAACAAAAGACTGGCGGCTCTCTGTAAACGGAGGGTGGTTGTAATAGTTAACAGAGTGGTGGAGCCGGCTCTGCCTTTGTATTAATTGGACATGTTAAACACGCTTCACTAAATATGTAAGAATTGCCTTCGCGCTGGCTATTCACATTTTCTTTTTTACTTTTCTTGTTTTCCTCTTTGCGGGTGCCGCGGCTGTAAATGATATTATTGAAATTTGTTGCTTTGTAAAAATGTTTTGTTTTTAATCTGTACATAAATTAAGACTGCTATTGAATAAGGTTTGTTTATTAACTTAATATACATATTTATGACAATTACAACAGATTTTATAGAATGGATTGTGGTTATAAAATTAAAGTATTCCTAATTGATGTGATGGCAGCGACACAATCTGGGAGCATTTTGCATTCGTTGTGTGATGTTCCAGTCGAGTCATCATGACGAAAGAAGACTTTAAAAGAAGTTTATGTATACGTATGCTCATATAAAAACATGACTATGAACATACTATGCGTATATTGTACATTTAGATTTCACTGTATTAAATATTAGTGAACCTACTATTAACATGAGATCATATATTCTTTAACACATTTACTTAGCTTCCTTTCCTCTGCCGCATCGGTGATACTATAATAAAACACAGTATTTATTCGAGAATTCTCTTTGGTAGATTACACGTGTAAAGGCTTTTTATCTTTATTAATCAGTGGTATCTGCTAAACCGTGTTATGAGAAGTTTTCGAGGGCTTTTAATGAAATCACCTTACCTAAATAGTATGAAGGGGGTTTAATACTAAGGCCTGCAGAATTTAAGTGTTTCCTAGATAGTCAATAGCCGTTTAAAGAATGATACATATTTAAACGACTTAGGAAACTGTTAAAAAAGGTTTGGGAATGAATGGAACAAAACAATACTTGTATTTTGTTAGTTTTACTTTCAACACTTTGAGCAGAGATAGAAATAGCATTTAGCAAGTAAACTTAGTTTCATTATCTTTCTTTTTTACTGTTTTAGTCACAGAGCTCTTGTTCGTTTTTGTGGAGATTTTCTACTCTAAAGCAAGAATATACCTAATTACACAGAACAGTGTAAACAAGGTGGACTCCATATGACTGAGAACATGGTTTTCATTAAAATTGGTCTTGCTACTCTTAACTGTTGTCTGCTGTTTTTTACAAGAATCCTATTCATCATCATCATAATTTATTAGCATTTTTAAAGAACTATTCTTCCTTCTATAGATTTAAATGTGATTCAATACATAATAATATTCCGGACATCTGACACACAACGCCATCTAGTTTCCAACTAAGCAAAGCTTGTACTACTAATCCCACCCACACGCCCACCTCTGTAACTCCTGTACACCAGGATCCACAGCAGTAACCCACGAACACACCGAGTTATGACACTCGGGAAGTCCCAGGAAGAAATTAAACTGTCTTGGAACCCGCAACGAAATTAATCAGAAGAAAATTGGAGGAGTTGGAAATACAGTAAGTCCACTTCCCTCCTTAGCAAAGCGGGAGACAAAATGAAGTAAAAAGGGCATACACCCTTTTAAACAGGGAAGCACCACGGCCACAAATATTACGGGTCCTACGTGAGCTATGTTTGATATCTATAATATGTATGGCAGAATCGCCTAAACGCACGGAAATTCACCCTAGTTGACACAAGATCCCCATAGTATACCGCCCCAGATGTCACCTGCAAGCTATTCAACATTATATTACGTTCATTATACCAAAGACTACATTCCCAGAGGATATGATGAGCAGACTGTTCATAGTGAGAGTTAGGTGTTGAGCATTGACACAATGGTGACTCGACTAATTTAAATGAATAAAGCTTGCTCTTAAAGTTACCATGACCCGTAAGAAATTGAGCGACACAGTGATCCACCTCAAGCCATATCCTCGACAACCGTTCGCGAACAGATGGAAAGAATTGGTAAAGATGGCGCCCCTTGGATGATTCATCCCAGCGTTGTTGCCATTCGTCTATGAGGTCGTTATAGACATCGGGCTGCTGTTGAAGCAATCTTGTAATTTTACCGCGATCCCGCGCGCCCAAAAAATCGCATTCCATGTTTTGTTGTCTTGAATAGTACATGGCTGCACGTCTCTGCACCTCGAGATCGACCGGAAGCACACCCGCCAACACCGGTAAAGCCTCAGTGCTAACCGTCCTATATGCCTTACACAAGAATATCAGTGCAAGTCGTTGGCCTTGTAACAGTTTGCGACGGACAGCGCCTACGGTCGCCCTATCGGCCCATACAGGTGCACCATAGCACATAGAACCTAAATAAGTAGCTCCGTATATGATCTTTAATGTATTAAATGATAGACCCCATGTCGCAGTTGATATCCTTGTCAATGCACAGAAACTCTTTTTAGACTTTTCATTAACTATTTTAATATGTTCGATAAATGAAAAGTTTCTTTCTAAAACTAATCCTAGATAACACACTGAGATTTTATTTTTTACAGTAACATTGTCAAATCTAATGCTCGGCGGTGATTTGAGGTTACCTTTTAAAAGTAGCTGGAAGGTTTTGTTGGGTGCAAAAGTTAAGCGATTACGTTCACCCCATTGAGATATCAAGTTCAAACATCTATTGGCTAATCTCTCAAGCCCCGCCCTAGTATCAGATTCCACCAGTAATAAGCCGTCATCAGCATACGCGTTCAGAGTACATCCGGATGGTATTGGTATCGCAAGAAAATCGTCGAAGCCGATATTCCACAAGTATGGACCTAGCACCGATCCCTGAGGACATCCCATTGTAAGCGCCTTCGACACAGAATGATGACCAAGTCTTAGTTTAGTTGTACCTTGTGAAAAGTACGAAGAGATAAGGGAATAAATATTTTTAAAGCACCCCCGTGATTTTAATTTCAGCAACAGCATGGGCCACCATGCGTTGTCGAAGGCGCCAGATATATCTAAGAAAATAGCCAGCACGTATTGAAATTTTGACCCTGTGACAAACTTTCTAACCGATATAACAGCGTCAGTTGTCGATTTACCCAACGTAAATCCAAATTGTCTATCATGAAATTTGACTCCACCTGGCAGAAGCCGGGGCACTACAAGACGTTCTAAAAGCTTTCCCAACGATGGTAACAATGTGATTGGTCGGTAGGATTTAGGATCATCCGGTGGCTTGTCGCCACTTTTTGGTATTATACGAATATTACCGCAACGCCAAATACGAGGAAATATTCCTTCAGCAATGCAACGTTTAAAGACAGTGAAAATCGTGTCACCCGAAAGTTTACAAGCTTCTTTTATCATTTTGTTAGATATTTT